TTTGCAGAAGTAACATCAGCCGAGAAAGAGGACAGAAGAGTTTGGTATGTTATGAGGTGTGCAGGATTTTTAGTTTTTCGCCAAATTCTCTCTGCAGCCTGAAGTTTTGAGCGATGCTCACAGAGAACATCAGAGAGCCAGGGTGCAGGAGGACTGGCACGGGCTGGCCTGGATGTAAGAGGGCATAGTCTGTCTAGACATGATGCTAGTGTGGAGCAGAGTGTATCAATGGCACTGTTAGTATCCAGTGTAGCGATTTTGCAAGGTGGAGGAAGAGAGTCTGAAACAATGGTGGATAGTCTATTAGGTGAGAGAGAACGTAGGTTTCTGCGAAAGGCAACTTGTGTAGGAGTGTGTGGCGGTTCAGGAGTAATGCGGATGCTGAGAGACAGAAGGAAATAATCCGATTTGTGTAGTGGAGTTACTAGTGTTTGCTAAGCGAAGCAATGTCGAGTGTAAATAAGGTTTAGCTGATTACCTGATTTGTGAGTAGCAGAAGTAGGTGCTCTTTAGAGATCAAAAGGGGCAAGCAGAGTCTGAAAGTCAGCAGCTTGTGGTCTTTCAATGTGGATATTGAAGTCAGTTAGCACCAACAAGGCAGTGTTATAATCAGGAAAAGATGAGAGAAAAACATCCAGTTTATCTAAGAAGTGACCTAATGTACCAATTGGGCGGTAGATGACAGCCACATTAATGTAGAAGGGGTGGATAATGGTGACTGCATGGAATTCAAAGGAGCTGATCTTTGTCAGGGATGGTCTCTGAGTAAATTTTCATGCTCTGGAAATCAGTAGTGCCGTCCCACCCCCTCTCCCTGTCTGACGAGGAGTGTGGGAAAAAGAGAAATTAGCAGAGAGAGCTGCATGTGTAGCAGTGTCCTCCGGTCTTAACCCGGTCTCGGTTAGAGCCATGAGATTATAGTTAGAATGTGTAGCTATGGAGGTAATAAGATCTGGTTTGTTCACAGCAGATTGACAATTCCAGAGGCCCACGGAGAGAGAGAATTGTGAAATAGCAGATACTTGTATTGAACGAAGGTTGTGAGGATTACGCATAGAGCGTACCTCACATGCTTTGCGAGTGTTAGAAACAACAGGAATTAGTAAACACATGATGAAAGTGCAATACAAACAATAATTAGTGCAAGGATAAAGGAAAAAAAATAAAAACGTACAGTACTCAAGTGCTTTGTCGGTGTCTTTCCTTGGTGGAGTCGCGCAGGTAGAGTCGATGGTCTTTACACTCGTTGGTCTTAGTTGCGCAGGTAGAATCGATGGTCTTTACACTCGTCTGTATTATTCGCGCAGGTAGAGTCGATGGTCTTTACACTCGTCTGTATTATTCGCGCAGGTAGAGTCGATGGTCTTTATTCTCGTCGGTCTTAGTCGCGCAGGTAGAATCGATGGTCTTTACACTCGTCAATATTATTCGCGCAGGTACAGTCGATGGTCTTTACACTCGTAGGTCTTCACACGAGGCAGTCTTCACACGAGGCTGCCGCGGTGAGAATAGCTGCTTATATACACCCCGGAGCACTAACTTAGCTGATTGAGTTCAGCTGGACACCCAGAGCACTAGCAAATTGGATTCAGCTGGACACGCCTCGAGAGTACAAACACCCGAAACTACGGCCGCGAAGCCGTCTGCGATCGATACGCAAGCTAATGCTTGTACAGCTAATGCAGTAACTAAGGAAACCGTGAGTAAACTTTCTACACGTACACACAGACACTGAGAACAAGTTTAAGTGTCCTAGAACCACCCACAAACACTGAAAACAGGTCTAAATGTCCTCGGGGGGCGCAAAACAGTCCTAAACAGCTGAGGACAGTTAGCAAACAGCTAGAACCCTCCACAAGCGGCTAAAAAACAAGTAAAACAATTATTCATTTAGTAGTCATGATGAAATGTTTGCTACTTGAAAGAAACACATTTTGTATTAATCTTGCAACCTTGTCAAAACATGATCTTATTTAAAACTGTTAACATTAAATGTAATTAAATACAGGACCAGCGCTTGAGCATTACTTAGGGTCTGTCAGTAGTGATCGCCTGCTGATTTTTGTTAAAAGGTGGAGGTTCTACAAAATTTGATAGAGGTGGTCACCTCCCTCCTGCTTGTCTTTGCATGAAAAACATCGAGTTACTATAGTAAGATGAGAGTGTTTCCAACAATAACAGAAAATAGTGATAGCTATATATATTTCACATATACACGTTACAGGATTGATATGAATTCTTCTCTCCAGCAAAGATGACACTAAATATAGTCTTAATGCTTATACATATGACATATAAGAGCACTTTCAATGCAAATGTCGACCTCAGCATGAAAGAAATTAGGTTTTCACCAAAATACGGAACCCGTTTCTGTTTTTTTTTTTTTTTTTGTCTAAGCAAGTATTTTACAGAACTTTAAAAATGCTCAAAAATGTCTCTGTCAGCTTTTTTAAACAATTATATTTGATTTACCAAAGTCACACAAGTGGTAATTTCACATCGATCACATCCATATCGACACTTTTTCCTTATAAATGCAAAAATATTACATAAAATAAAATCAATCATTTTTGTTCTATAGAGAGCCAACTCTTATCATTTTTATGATCATTACTTCTTTTGGGTTGTGCGGTTTAATTCACAGACTTTCTACAAAGTATTTTCATTTAAAGTACAAAACATGTTTATAGAACAATATTTTTCTGATCCCATAACTCTGTGGTCAGTTGTTCTGGAAAATATAAACAGTTTAATACAGTGTTAAACAAATATTTTCTATGTGAATTTATGTTTTGAGTTTTTACTGCAAATGTCAAATCCATAACACTGGAATTGCTCATTTATAAATACAAACCTAACTTATTTTCAGCTAAAATCTACTGTATATAATTAAGCTTAAAATTACTTTGTTCCACTGGATAATAATGTTAGTCTTAGTGTTTTGTTTTACTTCATACATACGTCACATGACTAAATGTAGTCCTAATAATGTTATTTTGAGTTTGTTCTGTTAGCAATTACAACATTTGATATCATTTTCTTCAATTAAAGCAAAATTATTTGAGATTATCTAATCTTAAAATGACAGTGTTTTATTTAGTTCCTGGACAATAATGTTTCAGAATCAGTTTGGTGTTGTATTTACAAGTTTATTTCTTGTATTTATGTAGATATTTGTGGTGAAAATACTGTTCCTTGTTATTGAAAAGTGAAAGATTAAAGATTAAAGCTTGTATCTAACTGTCTGTCTTATAATTCAATTCAATTAAATAATTGCTTTATTGGCATGACAATTGTTACAAATGTATTGCCAGAGCAGTTATAAAGTTTACATAAAAAGTAACATACATATATAATAAAAAACAAAACAGTACACACAGTAGATGATATTTATATATAATTTTTAAATAAAATATCAACAATACATCATATTATTCAATATATCACATTAATAATAAATATATTATTTTATTATTCAACATTATTTATTCATACAAATCAATACAAAAATAGATCAGAATGAACTGTACATTTTTAGGATAAAACAGTAATAAAAACAGTAATAATCAGTATATTTACAATGATTCATTTATAATCAACTAGGTGTGCGTGTGTGTGTGTGTGTGTGCGTCTGTCTATTATATATCTAGTTTAGATAGCTTGTCAAATATGGTGTTGAGATTTTGAATGTAAACAAGTGTTCCGGAATGCGCTGTCATAGAAACAGAAGAACGCAGCATTAAAAGTAGAAGAGAGTTCAGAATCTCCTCATTGCGTCTTCTCATTGCAGTTGGTAATAGTAGTGTTCCCAGTGAATTCTGTTATTATGGCATTGAAAAGAAAGCGTTGTTCTCCAGACACTCAAGTATATAATTTACATACTTGTACACCTCCGACATCCAGCGCCAATGTGGCTGAGAACCATTCACCTGTTGGTGTTGGTGAGGAAATGGAGATACAAGTGAGAAAGAAGAGGAGGTGGGAGAGTTTTGAAAAGCCGCTCTCCCTTTACGCTGAGGGTAAATCCAGTCACTGTTTGTCAATCTGACCATGCTTTGTGTTCACTAGATCTCTGTACATGTACATATAGGCCCAGACAGATTCTGTGTACATGTTTTGCTATTTCTTCTGAGAATTTTGTTAAAAAGTCTGCAGATTTATGAGGAATGATTTTGAGAGTAAAGTAACTAAAAACTGAACACATACAATAAAAAAAAATAACTTTTTAACTTGTTTTAGGTTTGTAACACAAATCTAAGTAGAACTATTTTTTTAGTAATCAAAGTTTTACATAATTTATCTACTAAAAGAGAAAACAACAATCTGTATTGTACATAATTCATTTAAATAATTGCAGATTATTATTAATATCACTGAAATATAAAAATGGTATAAATATCAATATTCAATGGACTCAATAATGGGCATAAAATGTGTATGATTCAGATTTGTTGAGGGTAAATTATGAGCATTCACTATAAGAAACCCAATTCATGACTGTTTCTGATCTCTAAGATGAAGTGTGTCTTTACACTTTACATCAAAATACAAATCAATTTTATAAGCCATTATCATTATCATTAATGCATGTCTTACATCTCTAAATACAGATGACAACCAGTGGATGACTTTTCTCTATGGCCAAAAGAGAAAACGAAGTTGTCACAGCTCTCATGTGAACGATTTCCATCCTCATACAGCTCCGATATCCATCACCAGCCTTCAGTCCACTGATGTTGCTGAGGAAAATGAGAGAAAGAGGAGAAGGACTGACAGTCCTGAAAAGCTGCTCTCCTGTAAAGTCCAGAAGTCCAGCAGCAGCTCTAGTCAGGAGGAAAAGACTCCTGTTCAGATCCAAAAGAAGAGTTCTGAAGGTAAATCAAGTGGCTATTTGAGAATGTGTGGCCTTCTCTCATGATCCTCTTCAGTATGAAGTAGAGTACATTACATTAAGCTCTATAAATATAAATATATATTTAAAAAGCTTTCTAAAAGTTTCAATCACTGTTTGCTGTATTTTGAAGTGTCCACCATATCAGTATTGTGCAGGTTCATTTTCACGATGTATTGAATTATTGAATATAGGCATATGTCTATTCCACCTCAAACATTACACACGTGTCTGTCAGTGCTTGACATTTCACATCAGCTGCAATTATTCATCTTTTAACAGGTGACATTCTGGACCGGTATGAACTCGGCAAGGAGATTGGAGAGGGAGGATTTGGCAGCGTCTATGAAGGGAAGCGCTTGGAGGATGGCCTTGAGGTGAACAATCCCTTTAACATATATTATGTTCACTTTTTAGTGCACTTGATGTGATTATAACAGAAGTGTTGTTTTGTTGAACAGGTGGCAGTAAAAATTGCCAGAAAGCCATCGAACATGAAATACATCAACATCGTAAGTAGACTTAAACATGTAAAGGCACTGACAACAGTATATTTTGGGAAGCAACACCGCCTAACTAATCTTTCTTCTAGGCTGGTCATCCTGAGCCCCTTCCTTTAGAGATCGGTCTGTTGATACTGGCTCATAGAGGCGGCAAGGTTCCAGAGATCATTGAGCTGCTGGACTGGCAGGACCAGCAGGATCGTTACATCATGATCCTGGAACGACCTTCACCATGTGTAGATCTGTTGGACTTCATAATGTCTCTCGGCTCCATCACTGAACGCCAGGCTCAAAAGATCATGGAGCAGGCAACAACAGCCGGTCTCATGTGCTGCAGACGTGGGGTATTTCACCGAGACATAAAGCTGGAGAACCTGCTGGTCAACACGGACACGCTGGAGGTCAAGCTAATTGACTTTGGCTGTGGAGCTCTTCTCCAGGAATCTGGCTATGACAGTTTCTGTGGTATGTATTAAACTTAACACCTGTAGTCTGTACTGTCAATTTGACCAATCATGTATTTTCATGTTACAGAGAAAACATGCTTTAGTGTTTCATGCTGAGACCAAATCTTGTTCCTTCAGGCACAAAGGAGTACTTTCCACCAGAGTACTACCTGGACGACGAATACCATGCAGAACCATCCACTGTATGGTCTTTAGGAGTTCTGTTATTCCTGCTGCTGTGTCAACGATTTCCTGACGTCATGGACACGCAGAGGATCGATGATGGAAACTGGACTGAGCCTGGATTGTCAGAAGGTAAGACGTCATTCATCACATCATAGATGAGCAGTTGTAGTTTAAATCATACAAAATGATGGATTAAACTAAGAGTTGGATATTGGATAATGGTGACAATGTTCTGATTCTAAAGGAGAGTAGAGTCAGATCTTATAGATGAATAAAATGACAGCAGATGTAAAGTTGAAGTTGATAATGTGTTTCTCTCACTTCTTCCCACCATCGTTCTGCACAGAATGCTGTGATTTGATTCAAGCTCTCCTGCAGGAAAACCCAAGCCAGCGGATTCCTCTGGAAGAAATCATTCTCCATCAATGGTTTAAGGTACTGAACTGTAGATCAGCTTCTAATGATTTGTAAAATAGATTCTCCTTTCATTTGAAAAAGGTTTTTATTGTACATTTTATGGTTTTTGTTTATTGTGATGAATCTGAATCAATAACCTTGATTTGATGTGTGTCTGTATGTTTCAGGTCAAGGAATAAAAAAAAAATAAGGAATGTAGTGCAAATGGATGGGAAAGATTATTTGCACTACTGAGCACCACAGTTCCTGACGCTAAAAAGTTACAGATTCAACAGGAGAGCTTAATAAAGGACACAGCAGCAACAAAAAATTCTAAAAAAAGGTCACAGCAACAACAGAAGATCCAGAAAAAAAGATCAAGCCTCAAGAAAAGATCCTGGAAAAGACACAGAAGATCCTGATAAGAGGGCACAGCCCCAACAATGAAAACATTTGTAAATAAAAACATGAATAAAATATACTTTGTCGCACCAGTCCTGTTTTCATCAAAAATATATCAAATCAGCCAAGATGCTGAAAAAGCAGCCAGCAGTGAATGAAACACTTAAACACATCAATTAAACAATTAAACACCAGGACAGCTAAACACATCAATTAAACACTTAAACACCAGGACAGCTAAACACATACACACTCTCACACACACTTATGTAATGTAATGTAATGTGTATTTATATAGCACATTTATTGTGTATGGCCATACACCCAAAGCGCTTCACAATCAAGAGGGGGGGGGTCTCTCCACACCACCACTAGTGTGCAGCATCCACTGGGATGATGCGACGGCTGCCACAGGACAACGGCGCCAGTGCGCTCACCACACACCAGCTATTGGTGGAGTGGAGAGACAGTGATAGAGCCAATTTGGGGGATGGGGATGATATAAACTGAAGTGACTGTAACTGAGCAAAGTTATGGGAAATTGTGAACAAATTTAGTAATTACAGCACAATGTAGAAAAAAGTGGGAAGAGGACTGTGCAGACACTCTCTCACTCTCTCTCTCTCTCTCTCTCTGTCTCTTTCTCTCTCTCATACTCACACACAAACACACACGGCTTGCACATATCTCTTTAAGAATTAGGATATAGAAGTAATAATGTTTATACTGTACAGACTGTATTTTTTTCTTCTTAGGGGTCATTTTCCTCTCAGGGACCAAAGAAAAAAAATTCTATAAAGTCAAGATCTACTGGTCTGACATTTCCACATCTATAAGATTGAATAAAAACGTAAATTCACACAGTATCAGTCAGTGGCCACTAGAGGACAGACACTAGCCATTCTGCTGAAAAAGCAAAGAAAATTGGTTCATTCCAGAACAAGTGTTGAAACCACATATGGCCTAGTGACCTTTAACCTTTGATCGGTTTTCCCTCAACACTCAGTTTTATTACTTGAATTTTAAAATGAGATTTTTTTCCACACTGTTCTTAACCCTGGATTACCTAGTAAATTATAAGCAGTGTAAAAGAAAAAGCTAGATTTACCCAGCGCTAAGAATGACCCAGAGTTGACCTTTTCGAGTTTTAAAACCCAAGACACAATAAACAGATGTAAGACTGTCACGGGAACAACGGGATTCAACTAAAATAAAGTTTACTGAAGATAGTTTGCAGTTTCATCAGCAGAAACCAGCTGAGTGTGTGTGTACAATTCTAAACGATATGGTTTTCAGGTAAAGAGTACCTGAAAACCATACTTGAGTAAAAGTACAGATACCTTACTGTAAAAATTACTCCATTACAAGTTACAAGTCACCAATTCCAATAAGACTTGAGTAAAAGTATTAAAGTATCCGATTTTAAAATAACTTGAGTATTTTACTCATACTGAATGTAGGTTTAAAGAACACCAAGAAAGGTTTTATTTCCTAATATAGAAATTAAATTGAACACCTCAATGTTTTTACTATATGGTAGAACAAAATAGATTAAAAAAAATCTCAGTCAAACTCAAATGTTAAAAAAAGACACAAACAATTTAAAAAAATTACATTTAAAAAAAGTAAAACGTTAAAAAAAAATTCAGAGCTGACTTTCATGTGATTCACCTCTCAGTCTCAGAGGGGGGCAAAACTTTTATTTTGAGTAGTTTTTCAATTGATTATGATGTCTTCTCTGTATTAAAATTAAACAGAGGAGCCGTGTTATTTTTCAACTTTGTAAACTACATATAAATTCAATGAAAAATACATCACAAACTCAGAGCTAAATGCACCTGATGCAAAATGTATAATTTCAGTGATACATTTATTCACGTTGCACCAAAAAAATTAAGCTAAAACAGTCATGTTATGTCGCAGTGGTTTTTGCAATATTAGTAACTGTATTAAATTCACATTAAATTAACATTAAATAGACTCTCACTTTAATGTGTTTTTCAAATTTGACGATAAGTTCTTAAAAGCACTTATTTACGTGGTTCATGGCAAACAAAGTAGACACTGCACCCTGTAAGAGCCATTCTGCATATCGGCAAATGAGAACATTTCTTTCAGATAAGGCCATGGATGGTCATCAGTGCTGGCACTGCTTGATGTGCCGACTTCAGCTTCATTATTGGCTGCAGCCATGCCGCTAATTAAACACCTAGGGGCCTCATGTATCAACGCTGCGTACGCACAAAAACTTTGCGTACGCCAGGTTTCACGCTCAGAATCGCTCACGTTTGGATTTACTAACAATGAACTGAACGTGGGAATGTGCGCAGCTTCACGGCAGCTTTCTGGCTGGCGTAAGCACATTTTTTGTGCGTGTCTGTTTTATTACCATTGGCGACTCCTAGAGGCAGTTGTGTTAAATTCCTCTCTACAAAGTGTCTGAGCCTTGCAATGGCAGCTGTATGAGACGGGTTCATGTAGCAGGTATATAAGGTTTCCATACCATACAGTTGACCAGCTAAACATTAAAGCACAATTTGCAGTGGTCGCCTGTTTTCTCAATGTAATCTGAGCGATCTACTGCACGCACATTGCTATAAAGACACTATCTGAAGATGAATTTGCATGAGTGAATCAGAAACATTTCCATTCAATAAATGTGCAAATAAAATATGATGCTTATTGATACGAACTTATTAATGATTCCTACTTGTCTTTCTCGTGATAAATAGTTGGCAAAATCTGATATGTACCGGGGGAAAAAAGAAGAAAGATTTCATCAGACGCTAGATTCGAGCCGAGTTCAAGCTCGAACGTGTCAATACATGATCACATGCGTCTTACGGGTTGCGCCACTGAGACTGTTATGGGTCCCGCAACATTTTACAGATATAAACCACACTATTTCTTTTTTTTTATGCACTCAGTGCGATGTTCAGACCTAACTGTGTGAACCGCATCAGCTAAACTCTCCCACTCTATTTTTTTTTCTTTTGTTGTTAATTCCGGAGAACAAACTTGCAAATAACACCGATTTTCTCCGGTCTACCTCTGAAAGCAACACCTCCAATTCACATTCTGTTCAAAGTTTCTCTTTTTGCTTGCTTTTGCCATTGCTTTTTCGTTGGGTTTTGCCATTAGCATAGTCATTAGCATATTCATACGGGGGAGGAGGCAGGGAGGGGTTTTGTGCTCGTGCATGTTGCGCTCAGTTTCACGTTCATTCGGATGTAAAAAAGAATATGTGTGAGATTCGGCGTACGCAGTGTTTCATAAATCTGAATTTTTTCTGCGTACGCACATTTACAGCTTTGTGCGTACGCAATGTTTTAGTAAGATTTCCACGCAAGTCTTCGTACATGAGGCCCCTGGTATTAGGTAATACCTGCTGGCCAAAAGGGTGCCCTATGCGAAATTTTATTGTGGTGCACCCACAGAGGAACAAAATCACACAGACATATGGATTTAAACATGTATATATTTATGTATTTTTTTATACATAAATATGCATATAAACACTCAAAATCATACTTAAACATTCAAATATTTACATTACAAATTAATAGTTTACATCAAAATAAACACTGACATGTCTTCTGCAGAAATATTCCTAATTTTAAACATTTACAAAAGATAAGTAATAAAACCCTCTCTGTACCTGTAGATATGGACGGTCCTCAGTGTTGCATCCCGTGTCATACCTGTGCAGCTGCTGATGCCTCTGGAGCAGTGCTGGTCATTCCAATTCATCTTCTTTTGTGACAGCTTTAAACCTTCATGTACAATACAGAAGAAATTAGTCATTTAAAGGAAAAACTCATGACATACCATTAAAACAATGGGATAGTCAAGCACTCTTTATAATGTGTCTAAACTACAACCAAAATGTAGATTTAATTTGCACTATAATCTATGGTGACAAGAACTGACACTTTCTCTCAGTACAAATCAAAGACATATGTGGTTTTTATAAATTAATGTGTATTTTTAAACAAAAAAATTTAACATTCACAAAAAAAGTTATCATTAATGAATTCATGCAATAAAATGATTTCTGGCCTGTGGCTTACAGTAATGTGACTTATTTTATATTATTGATCTTTCAGAAATCACAGAATGACTCAGTTTAGTTATTTCATATAGTAATGTACAAAAATGAAAAACTGTCCTTTTAAAAACACATTAATCCACTGATGTAAAGACTAAAGAGACTTTACTGTCATTGCAGTGATACAAGCAATAACAACAGCAGCAATAAGAAATATATAGAAATAGAGAAAACAATAAAATGATAACTGCAAAGAATTATATAATATATAAAATACAACTATTTAATAATAAATATAACATATAGTGAAATAATTGTGCAGTGCATGTGTATGTACAGTAGCTGGTGTGCAAACAGAATTGTAAACTATTGCACAAGTTAATAAAATAATTGAGTTTGTGCATTTATCAGCAACATGGGGTAAAGGGGTAACTCGAAAAGTCATGGAACATGTCCTGTCATAGTTTAAAGCACAATGCACTGCAGCAAAGCAAGAAACTGAATGTGAACAACAACACAAAAGGCAGATTGGTGCAGTTGAGGAGAAGTTTAAACGTTAGCCTCACTAATTTACTTGAACAACCAAAAA